TTACTGCTCCGGGGAGGTGGTGGGGTCGTTACTGTTCTCCGGGGTGGTGGGGGGTCGTTACTGTTCTCCGGGAGGTGGTGGGGGTCGTTACTGTTCTCCGGGGTGGTGGGGTCGTTACTGTTCTCCGGGAGGTGGTGGTCATTACTGTTCTCCGGGAGGTGGTGGGGGTCGTTACTGCTCTCCGGGGAGGTGGTGGGGTCGTTACTGTTCTCCGGAGGTGGTGGGGTCGTTACTGTTCTCCGGGAGGTGGTGGGGGTCGTTCTGTTCTCCGGGAGGTGGTGGGGGTCGTTACTGTTCTCCGGGAGGTGGTGGGGGTCGTTACTGTTCTCCGGGAGGTGGTGGGGGTCGTCACGGTTTACCTTAAGGCGGCAAGGGTTCGTCACTGTCGATGCGTCACTGTACTATATTTGGGCATGGAGATGGTGGTTGTGGTGGTGGTGTTGGTGATTGTGATGATTGTGGTTGTGGTAATTGTGGTTGGTGTGATATCTGCTGGTGGTGTTTGTAGTAGTGGTAAAGATTGTGGTGGTTGATTAATGGTGGTTGTGGCTTCTTGGTAGTGTTCGTGACCTCATATGGTTGTTGTCAGTGGTGGTAGTCAATAGTTGTAGCTGGTAGTGATGGGTCCTTGTGGTAGTCGACTCTAATCTTGTTAATTATTCTATATTTATCGTCATTATTCCATCATATGTTTTAAATTATTGATTATTATTATTATCAGCTTCGTTACACACTATACACTTAAGAACTAACTCTCTCTCTCTCTCTCTCTCTCTCTCTCAATGACACACGCTTCGGGTTGCCATATATCACTTCCGACAGTCTCTCTCTCTCTCTCTCTCTCTCTCTCTCTCTCTCTCTCTCTCTCTCTCTCTCTCTTTTAATAAATAGCTCCTGCCATATTTGTCACCCCACATCAACCTTGTCAACATATATATATATTTTTTTTTAACCATTATTTATTTTTTTTGTTACAAGTCATCCATTACCTTAGTTAAGGGGCGTGTCTGTGTGTTTTATGCCCCGCCCTGAGTGGTCAAGGGGGCTATATTGCAGTCACTCCTCTTTTCTATCTGTTGTTACGTTGTTGGTTTATTGCTTATCCCGAGGTGTTATTTTGCTGTGATAGTCGTGTCCAAACCGAGGTACAGGGTGTGTGTGTGTAGTCATACGTGTACATGTACAGTATACTCACGCAGTAATGTGTTACAGACATACATACATACATACATACATACATACATACATACATATATACATACAAACAATTGACTCGTGTCCACAATCCACGCACAGAAAAAGAATTGCAATTTGGTAGCACACGTCAATAAGCGCCAGGCCTCAGTGGATCAAGGTCACCATGGTCAATGCTATCACCACTAGGTCGAGACCCTCCATGCAACCCGCCCAATCTTATGGTGTGTATATTTTAGTGCCTGCGTGCATGACACTTCAGTCAACAAAATCGCTCGGTGATGTCATGCGTGCTGACACACACACACACACACACACACACACACACACACACACACACATACATACATACATACATACATACACACACACACACACACACACACACACACACACACACACACACACACACACACACACACCATTCAAGCAAGCAAGCGGTGCAAAACTGTTGCAGGGATAGAGCCTCTCTCTCTCTCTCTTTTCTCTCTCTCTCTCTCTCTCTCTCTCTCTCTCTCTCTCTCTCTCTCTCTCTCTCTCTCATCGTCGTAGGAGTAAAGTGTTTGCGCATGTGTTTTGAATGGGTTTATGTGTATGCGTGTATGAACGTTCTGGTTGCGTGTACACACACACACACACACACACACACACACACACACACACACACGTGCAGCATAAGACGACTGAGGCCGCTGGCAGCCCTCAGTCGCCCGCCAGACCTTTACTTGTAACGTTGTGTGTTCCTCTGCTCCTCTACCTCCCTGGCCTCTACCTCTAGCCTTTCCTCCTGGTCTCTACAACCCTGATCTCCTCTATCCTCTACCTCCCTGGCCTCCTCCCCTGGCCTCTACCTCCCTGGTCTCTACCTCCTATCCTCTCCTCTTTTCCTTCCTCCTGGCCTCTACCTCCCTGGTCTCTACCTCCCTATCCTCTACCTCCCTATCCTCTACCTCCTTATCCTATACCTCCCTGGCCTCTACCTTCCCTAGCCTCTACATCCCTGGCCTCTACCTCCCTAGCCTTCATCCCTGGCCTCTACCTCCCTATCTTCTACCTTCCTGGTTTCTCCTACATATCCTCCACCTCCTGGCCTCTACCTCTTGGCCTCTACTTCCCTGATCTCTGCCTCCCTATCATCCACCTTCCAGGCCTCCACCTCCCTGGCCTCCTCCCCTGGCTTCCACCTCCTGGCCTCCACCTCCCAGGCCTCCACCTCCCAGGTCTCCACCTCCCTGGCCTCCACCTCCCTGGCCTCCCACCTCCCTGGCCTCCTCCCCTGACCTCCTCCCAGGCCCCACCTCCCTGGCCTTCACCTCCCTGGCCTCCCACCTCCCTGGCCTCACCTCCTGGCCTCCACCTCCCGGGCCTCCACCTCCCGGCCTCCACCTCCCTGGCCTTCCTCCCCTGTCCTCCACCTCCTGGCCTCCACCTCCCAGGCCTCCCTCCTGGTTACCAAACTTCTCTATCTGCCTGGCCACTACCTCCCTATCATCTGCCTCCCAGGCCTCCACATCCTAGGCCTTCACCTCCTGGCCTCCACCTCCCAGGCCTCCACCTCCTGGCCTTCCACCTCCCTGGCCTCCACCTAGGCCTCCACCTCCTTTGACCTCCACTTTCCTGGCCTCCACCTCCCTGGCCTTCACCTCCCCTGACCTCCACCTCCTGGCCTCCGCCATCCTCCCTCTTTATTTCCCTGGCCCATAAGCTTCTAATTGTCTTTGTTTCAGTGGGATATTGTCTTTTGTTTCAGTGGGATATTGTCTTTGTTTCAGTGGGATATTGTCTTTGTTTCAGTGTGATATTGTCTTTGTTTCAGTGGGATATTGTCTTTGTTTCAGTGTGATATTGTCTTTGTTTCAGTGGGATATGTCTTTGTTTCAGTGGGATATGTCTTTGTTTCAGTGGGATATTGTCTTTGTTTCAGTGGGATATTGTCTTTGTTTCAGTGGGATATTGTCATTGTTTCAGTGGGATATTGTCTTTGTTTCAGTGGGATATTGTCTTTGTTTCAGTGGGATATTGTCTTTGTTCCAGTGAGATATTGTCTTTTGTTTCAGTGGGATATTGTCTTTGTTTCAGTGGGATATTGTCTTTGTTTCAGTGGGATATTGTCTTTGTTTCAGTGGGATATTGTCTTTGTTTCAGTGGGATATTGTCATTGTTTCAGTGGGATATTGTCTTTGTTCAGTGGATTCTTTGTTTCAGTGGGATATTGTCTTTGTTCAGTGAGATATTGTCTTTGTTCAGTGGATATTGTCTTGTTTAGTGATATTGTCTTTGTTTCGTGGGATATTGTCTTTGTTTCAGTGGGATATTGTCTTTGTTTCAGTGGGATATTATCTTTGTTCCAGTGGGATATTGTCTTTGTTTCAGTGGGATATTGTCTTTGTTTCGGATATTGTCTTTGTTGTGATATTATTTTTCCAGTGGGATATTGTCTTTGTTTCAGTGGGATATTGTCTTTGTTTCGGTGGGATATTGTCTTTGTTTCGGTGGGATATTGTCATTGTTTCAGTGGGATATTGTCTTTGTTTCAGTGGGATATTGTCTTTGTTTCAGTGGGATATTGTCTTTGTTTCAGTGGGATATTATCTTTGTTCAGTGGGATATTGTCTTTGTTTCAGTGGGATATTGTCTTTGTTTCAGTGGGATATTGTCTTTGTTTCAGTGAGATATTGTCTTTGTTTCAGTGGGATATTGTCTTTGTTAGTGGGATATTGTCTTTGTTTCAGTGAGATATTGTCTTTGTTTCAGTGGGATATTGTCTTTGTTTCAGTGGGATATTGTCTTTGTTTCAGTGGGATATTGTCTTTGTTTCAGTGGGATATTGTCTTTGTTTCAGTGGGATATTGTCTTTTGTTTCAGTGGGATATTGTCATTGTTTCAGTGGGTATTGTCTTTGTTTCAGTGATATTGTCTTTTTAGTGGATATTGTCTTTGTTTCAGTGGATATTGTCTTTGTTTCAGTGAGATATTGTCTTTGTTTCAGTGGGATATTGTCTTTGTTTCAGTGGTATATTGTCTTTGTTACAGTGGGATATTGTCTTTGTTTACAGTGGGATATTGTCTTTGTTTCAGTGGGATATTGTCTTTGTTTCAGTGGGATATTGTCTTGTTACAGTGGGATATTGTCTTTGTTTCAGTGATATTGTCTTTGTTCAGTGGGATATTGTCTTTGTTTCAGTGTGATATTGTCTTTGTTTCAGTGGGATATTGTCTTTGTTTCAGTGGGATATTGTCTTTTGTTCAGTGGGATATTGTCTTTGTTTCAGTGGGATATTGTCTTTGTTTCAATGGGATATTGTCTGTTTCAGTGAGATATTGTCTTTGTTTCAGTGGGATATTGTCATTGTTTCAGTGGGATATTGTTTGTTTGTGGGATTGTCTTTGTTTCAGTGGGATATTGTCTTTGTTTCAGTGGATATTGTCTTTGTTTCAGTGGGATATTGTCTTTTGTTTCAGTGGGATATTGTCTTTGTTTCAGTGGGATATTGTCTTTGTTTCAGTGGGATATTGTCTTTTGTTTCAGTGGATATTGTCTTTGTTTCAGTGGGATATTGTCTTTGTCGGATATTGTTTGTTTCGATATTGTCTTTGTTTCGGGGATATTGTCTTTGTTACAGTGGGATATTGTCTTTGTTTCAGTGGGATATTGTCTTTGTTTCAGTGGGATATTGCGTCAGTAGGTGTACCACGCCCTCAAGTTTCAGCTGTCCCTCAAAACGTAGTGTTATTGTCTGGTTTTTAAGTGTGGCCCTTAAGCGCTGTGTGCTGGATCAGCTGATGCTCAAGCGGCGTGGTTTTATCTCTCTTTTTGAAGTGTCGCCCTCAAGCGCCTGTTTGTCGATCGTTATGGGTTAATGCGCGTTGTGTGACCCTCAAGCAGTAACTCACAGGAAATTGTTTATGCTCAAGCGCCCTGTGCATGAAACTGTTAAACTCAAGTGCTGTGGGCAAGCGCAGTTGAACACTTTTGTGCCCTGTGCCGGACCTGTTGACACTCAAGCGCTCTGTGCATGGTCAGTTTTGCACTCAAGGGCTCTCTGCAAGGTCAGTTGTACAGTTAAGCGCTCTGTGCAGGGCTTCCAAGTGTTGCTAACTGTGTACGACTGCCTGCTGGCGGAGTTACCGGCGGCTGGTGATATATGGAAGAAGGTATATTTACCGTTGTGGCGCCGGGCGGGCAGGTCCTGCTGTGTTACGGTGCTCACCAAGTATAACGGGCGTGTGTCACTGGTGGCACTACGTGTGACAGGCGTGTGTGTCACGGGCGTGCCGGCACGTGCATGTGTATTGTAGTGCGTCACGTGACCTGTGACACTTGTGACGGGAGACATCAAACAAGTGTGACGATCATCACTTGTGACGGGCGCCACGTGCGTCACCACCGCCAGCGTGATGGAACATGCCAGACTTATCGACGAGATGGAGGAAGGCGTCTCGTAAGTACTAGCGAGGGAAGATGGTGTTCCTCCCTCCTTCTTTTTCCTTCCCTCCCTACCCCTTCCTCCTCCTCCTCCCTCTTCCTCCTCCCTCTTACTCTCTCTTCCTCCCACTGCCCTCCCATCCCCCTCCTCTTTACCTCCCTTCCACTGCACTCCCTTTTTCCTGCTACCACTCCCCATTCCCTCCCTCCCGCTGACCCTTCCACTGTAATAAAATCTTAGACTTCTTGCTGCCCTCCCTTCCCAGTTTTTCTTCATCTCTCCCTCGTTCTCTTCCTCCCCCCTCCCTCCTGGTCTCCCCAACACTGGCCTCCCCAACACTGGCCTCCCCCAACACTGGCCTCCCCAACACTGGCCTCCCCCAACACTGGCCTCCCCAACACTGGCCTCCCCCAACACTGGCCTCCCCCATGGCTCCCCAACACTGGCCTCCCCAACACTGGCCTCCCCAACACTGGCCTCCCCCAACACTGGCCCAGTTAATGGAAGAGTCCAGTTGATTGCTCGATCTGCCTCGTTGGAGTAAACGACCCACTTTTGTTCTGACCAGAAGAGCTATATATATCGTTTTGTCCAGACCAGTAGATAAATACTTCACTGTGTAAGATATATATATATATATATATATATATATATATATATATATATATATATATATATATATATATATATATATATATATATATATATATATATATATATATATTTTGTCCAGTAGAGGGCATATAAAGCCTTGTTTTGTTCAATATAGAGGAATATATGCAATTGTTGTGTTTATTGAAGTGAACAATGAACATGCATTTGACACGTGTCAGTCAGTCAGTCAGATATTGAACACATTTTTTCTGAGTCATGCGGTCGACAAACATCTGGACACGAATCTTAACACACGTCCGTCTGGACACGCCAATAACAGGTCCCTGGCCACATTCCACTGTTAATGTACAAGACACAATGGGCATGGCGAGTCATGCTACTGGGTGAACTGGTAAACGAACCCCACGGCTTCTTCACCCCACGCCCTCCTATCCCTGTGTCCTTCCCCGTGCCTTCTACTCCTCCATGAGCTCTGCAAAGCGTGCAACCTGGGTGGTGGGGGTGTGTTGCTGTGGAGGGTGGCTTGCAGCACACACACACAACACACACACACAGTTGTCATTTCTTAAAATATTGTGTGTGTACGTGTGACAGCTTGAAATATTCCTGTCAGAGTTACGATTTGTTGAATATTTTAATGAGTAGCAGCTTCAAGTACAGGATATATTATCATCTTTGAATATACTAGTATAACCGGGTGTTGTTATATGTCTGTAGTTATGTAATAATAATAATAATAATAATAATAATAATAATAATAATAATAATAATAATAATAATAATAATGGTAGTAGTGAACTTTGGTTGATGATTATTGAGCTAAAATATAATATATAAGAAGTTATTATTAAACAAACCTATAATTATTTTCATCTTCCATCAGTTATATGGGAAAAGTATATGATCCAAGGACCATATAACTGTTATAGGCAGCAGGAAGACGTGTGTGTTATATGCGTGTCGTGCTGTATTCATTATTTATATTAATACCTGCGTTATATAGAATAAATTGTGTTGTATTATTATTTATCTTACTGTATTTGCGTTGTATTAATTAGAATATACGCGCTGTATTATATAGAATTATAGATAATCTTACCTGTGTTGTATTATAGAATTATCTTATATTTGGATTTATATTAACGAATCATCAGAGGGCTAGCGGTGTGAAGGCTGGACCCCGCCCTGTCACGTGACCAGCTGGTGTGTGTGTGTGTGTGTGTGTGTGTGTGTGTGTGTGTGTGTGTGTGTGTGTGTGTGTGTGTGTGTGTGTTTTTACTTATCAATATTAACACACACACACACATAAATCTCCATTAAGATTCAGAACTGCCGAACGCCTTAGAGTTATTCGTCAGTCTCCCAGATGGCGTGCCTGTGGTTCGTGCCAGCTGGGTTATTGTGTTTGGTCAAGATTGAAGTAAGGGTTAATGTCAAGGTCACCACTTTTTTGTTATTGCTATATCGACAGCTGAATGAGGGGGAAGGGTGGGATACAGCCACTGAGGCGCCACCACACACACACACACACACACACACACACACACGTTACATATGTCTCTTGGCTTCTGGTAAATATCCTCAAGGGTATATTCGACACGCACCATTATTTTGACAAGAGTTTTCAATGTTCAGGATAATCAAGACGTTGTGTGTGTGTGTGTGTGTGTGTGTGTGTGTGTGTGTGTTGGTAGACTTTCAGGAACTTCCACAAGTATTTATGTAATAATTTGATGCTGAAAATTCCTAATACAACAGTTAAGGTTTCAGAAATGACTTGATACAGCCACCGGGTACAGGTAGGCAGGCAGGCATTCAGTAATGTGATTTCAACCAGGTGATGAAATTCAGTAGATTAGTTTGAGGAGTGACATGACAGTATTCTAGTGTGTTGTGTTACAGAGGATGGTTCTTCCTCCCCTCCCTCCCATAAACTCTCCTCTATTCTATCCTGCCATGCCCTCCCCTTTCTACCCCTGCCAAAACCACCCTCCTCCTCACCCCTCCCCTCCTAACCCCCTCCTAACCCCTCCCGTTCATGTTTACTAATTACAGACAAATGATATAACTTCACGGCCTTAGTATGGCTGTATAGAACCTCGCCACGATACACTCTTTCTTTACGACATATTCGTGTCCAGAAAAGGTTCGTGGTATAACGTTATATGGCGATTTTATGTCGTTATACCATCCCAGTTATGTTTCTGGTATAGCTCGTGTTGTATTAACTAGTTCCAGGTTCGTGGTATGATCTCAGTCTCTTTGTCCTGATATACGATATGCGATATACCCACTCAGAAGATGTCTTAGTCTAGAAATACGATCTTGGGTTAGATATACTCTTGATATGCTTTGGTATAACACTCCCATTATACCATATTGATAGTATAATTTTGGTGTATTGTACTGAAGATACTGTCTTATGGTATAATCTTAATATACCTGCGTCTCGATGCCCAAATATAACGTTATATTACGACATAACCCCTGATATACCCCCCTCTCCCTAAATTAACATCCAATCGACCTATGTCTCCCGGAGGTGCCAATTTAACTATTACTATGGGATTTAAGAGACAATTTACCTTGACCGGGATGCACCTTGGGAGTCTGTCTTCCCCCGAGGTTATTATTATTGTTGTACTCATCGTCTTAACGTCTGTTAATTGTATGTACTCAAGTGTTTTATGTACTCGAGATAAAGTAAGGTACTCGGCATGTTTCCACACACACACACACACACACACACACACACACACACACACACACACACACACAGGTTATTACCCAAGGGAGATCATTAACCAACATAACAACAGGAGGAGGAAGAGGAGGAGGAGGAAGAAGAAGGAAGAAGAGGAGGAAGAGGAGGAGGAAGAGGAGGTACAGACTAAAGAGGTTGGTGGTGGTGTCTGCGTTAAAGGGGTTATATGCAGCAGGCACTGTATTAGGGCGTGTATATGCCAGGCCGCCCACCCAGCTGCCAGACGTATAGTGTGTGTGGGTGGGTGGGTGAGTGGGCGGGTGGGTTGGGTGTGTGTGTGTGTGGGGGGGGGGCGGGGGGGCTGGGTAAGGTTTGGGTATATGTATGTATGTATGTCTGTACTGCATGTATGTATGTATGTATGTATTGTGTATGTATGTATGTATGTATGTATGTAACTCAAGTTCTACTAACGTTTATGGAATACACAATTATATAGAATACATTACACATATACTGTATACATATAGAAGTGTGTATTAATGAGTGTATTAGTAAGGTGAGTAAATGAATGGGTCAGTCAGGTGAGTAAATGAATGGGTCAGTCAGGTGAGTAAATGAATGGGTCAGTCAGGTGAGTAAATGAATGAGTCAGTCAGGTGGTAAATGAATGGGTCAGTCAGGTGAGTAAATGAATGGGTCAGTCAGGTGAGTAAATGAATGAGTCAGTCAGGTGAGTAAATGAATGGGTCAGTCAGGTGAGTAAATGAATGGGTCAGTCAGGTGAGTAAATGAATGGGTCAGTCAGGTGAGTAAATGAATGGGTCAGTCAGGTGAGTAAATGAATGGGTCAGTCAGGTGAGTAAATGAATGGGTCAGTCAGGTGAGTAAATAGATGGGTCAGTCAGGTGAGTAAATGAATGGGTCAGTCAGGTGAGTAAATGAATGGGTCAGTCAGGTAAGTAAATGAATGGGTCAGTCAGGTGAGTAAATGAATGAGTGATTGAGTGAGGTGAGCGTGTTTTATCGTGAGCAAAGTATAAGGTGTAAAATAGTACTGGTGTTTATGTGCGTTTACAGGGCACTAACCCTTTGGTAAATGATGAATTAACTTGGGTATAATTTGAGGAAAATACGTCTCTCTCTCTCTCTCTCTCTCTTCTCTCTCTCTCTCTCTCTCTCTCTCTTCTTCTTTTCTTTCTTGCCGTGAGTGTACAGAAAGCCTCCTCCCCCACCTAACCATTGGATACATCAGGGCCTCCTCCTCCTGTAGGTGGTGGTAGGGTGAGTTTATCCTGCCAGGGGTGAGTGGAGGGTGGAATATGAGGGTATGGTGGTGATACGGTTTTATCTTCTGGTATTTAAATGAGAAGGACTGGGAAGGAGAGAGAGAGAGAGAGAGAGAGAGAGAGAGAGAGAGAGAGAGAGGAGTCGTTGTCGATTATTCTCTACCTAGTTGTTTTGTTATGCTGGAATGGTCACCTGAAGATTAGCTCCCCTCCCTCCCCCTCCTCCCTCTCCTCCCCTCCTCCCTCTCCCTCCTCTCCCTCCCCTCCTCTCCCCTCTCTCCTCCTCCTCTTTAGTTTATCTCACCTGTTGATTAAATACTCTTAACTCTACCTAAAGGGGGTTAAGGTAAGGTTAGATTAGGTGAGTGTTAGTTTAGATTAGCTTAGGTTAGGTTAGGTTAGTGTTA